TGGGAGACCTTGAATCCATTAAGGCCCATTGGTGGACTGTTTTGATCACACCTCACAGGGTGTTTCCACTCAGTCATCTTAATGAACTGCGACACAAGTAAATAAAAATGCTGATATAGTAAAAATGAAGCACAGAGAGACTGAAATGTAAAAGCAGAATGCTTTAAATTAAATTTAAATTGTACATTTGTCTAAGTTTGTATTTTGACCTGCCCCCACACGCACAGTTAGCTTTGTGGTTTAAGCCGAGCTGTCAGCAGAGCGCTCTCATCTTTGATCTTTCATCTCAACAATCCTTCATCCAGACAGTGCTCATAAAACCCTGTGACCTTTTGACCTCTCCGGTGCACGCCAGTGTCCTGTGTGCCAGACCAGCAGACTGGCCTTTTGTTCCTGCTCGTGTCCAACCTCCCAGGGTGCTTTGAGGCAAGGACAAAGCAGCATTAGGTGGACAAAGAGAACCGCGGCGAACAGCAGAAACGGAGGGAGAAGGAAACGAGGAAAACAAAGCGCCCAGGGCATCGGCAGTAATGACAACAGAGGGGAACGTAAAACTGGAAACGATGTGAGAGGGAGAGAAGGAAAAGGTTCGACAGGGAGAAGCAAAGAAGAAGAAAAGCCGAGGCCGTGACGGCGCATGTGATATCGCTTATTTAGGTTTTAGTTGCACGTGCACCTCCAACATTAAGAAATCTCCTCGGTCCACTTACAAACACATTTGTGTAGCTGTGTTATGATCTGAACAGCCGTCCTCCGCTAACACACATACGCACACTTAGCGTCCGTGAGCACGCTGCCAAACAGAGGCAGCTGCCGTTGCTCCTATTGGCCCGCTGAGCTAAACGACAGAGGGGCCAGACCCGGCTGGGCGTGTGCATGTGAGCAGCAGCGTGTCTGTTTACCAAACACTCAAAGGCCTCTGCTGTCATAGGTGATCTCTCCATCTCACTTTGACTCCCCGTCACGTTTCTGCGACTGACCGAGGGTCAAAATTGAAGCCGTGGTTTTAAAATAATCGTCTGTTGAGGAGGAAGAATGGAGGTAAGATAGTTTTTAACTAACTGGTGCACACAGAGGCCAATATTAAGTTTAAAAGTGATTCATACATCAAAGGCTAAAAGGTTTTTCGTTTGTTTTTAATGTGTGACAATAGAAGCTGTTAATAAATCGTTACAATGTGTCGATTAGATTTATTGTCGTTACACATGTATAAATACACGGCTGTGAAATGCAGTTTGTATCTAATCAGAAGTGCAATAGGAGCAGATTACATCCAGATAAGGGCAGAATAGAAGGTGCAAATGAGTACAGATGTGTACAGATGAGTGGTAAACAGATGTACAGTGGTGGGAGCGCAGACAGTGTCATGTGATTGCTGCTGGACGATGAGTTTATTTTGGCTCTGAGGACGTGAGCAGGGAGCCGCGCTGTGAAACTGTAGACGCTTGTTTCGTGTTCAGTCTGGATTTCACAGCGTTTCCACTGCTGCGGGACAAAAACGGCTTCGCTGTTGTCTGCAGTCATGAACACTTTGGTCACGCTTCACATTCTTCGAGGACGTTTGTGAGACCGAGCAATTACTCTGAGAATGAGTCGAGGCTTCTCACTTTAGACGCTGATTGTTTGCAGTCAATCAAATTGGGCGTGAACAGGAATGATCTAGGTCAGCTGTGTATATGTGTGGGTGAGGGGGGGTGACCGCAGCAGCGCAGAGTTGGCTCGGTCTTTTCACACTATTGATTTTTATATAGATTTTCCACTTTTTACGACTGAGGCAACCATAGATTTAACACGTATGTCACTGCGCTGAGCGCTGAGGGTCACCTCCCGTCTGTGTGAGCGTCACTGTAGAAACACACTGAAGCACGGAGCTTCAGAAAACGCTGGGCGATTCAGTTTGACCACCATCTCAATAAAAACAAAAATAAAGTAAAAATTGAACTAAAGAAACACTTTACAGGTAACGATAGAAACCAGTCAGTCTGTCATCGAGCAGCACGAACCGTTTCCCGCACAAAGACGACGACCTTACCAGTGTTGACGCCTCCAGTATGTTTCAATACAGACCATTAAAGCAGCTGCTGGGTGGAGACCACCCTCACTAACTCCTGATGCATGAACGAACCGAGAGCTCGAGGGGGTTTGATCCTAACCTCAACCCCCTGAGCCCCCCACGGACCGACAGGTGAGCTGTGGACAATAAGAGACGGGACAAGAACAAACTATTCTTTACCTTTAACATCCAGCAGCTTAATAGAAGAACGTGAAAGAATTTGAGGAGCAGTTTTTGTGTCGAGGGTGCGCGAGACTCGAGCTCGGGAATACTGCTCACGCTGTCCCTGTTACTCACATCCTGCTCATTAAAGCAGCTCATAAAGAACGTGTTGCAATAACAGCGATTCTATCAAATATTCTTAGAAACACTGAAAACATTCAGCTTCTGCAAAAATAAATTCTTTGTTGTCCTCGTTTAACTGCAGTTTCTCGTGTTTATATCAGATTTAAGCTGCGAGTCGAGCGTTCCCAAATATTTACAAGTATCCACAATTTGGAGTCTGTGTATGATTCTGGCCTTCGGTTTACCGCCATCTTTCCTGTAACCAGTGATTAACTCTTTAGTCTTAGTCACATTAAGGTCAAGGAAGTTATGATGGCACCGTTTGACAAATGCACGCAAGGCCATCATGTGAGCGCGTGCGTGGAGAGGATATCGCACTGATGACTGAGCGGCTCTGAGTCTTCTTTTGCCCACATGAAGGAATAATGTTCAACCATTGTGCACAAACGTGTTAAATAGGCAGGCTGACATGCCCTGGTTATGTCAAAGCCAAGCTGTGAAACACCAATCCCACCATCACACCAACAGCATGTAACCCGTCTGTGCTCCCATATCTGTCCTCAGGTGATGCAGGTGGTGAGGGAGCAGATCACCAGGACTCTGTCGAGTAAGCCGACCTCCTTGGAGCTCTTCAAGAACAAAGTTAACGCTCTCAACTACAGCGAGATCCTCAAACTGCGGCAGACGGAACGACTGCACCAGGAAGAGACTCTGGCTCCACCTGTGCTGTGAGCATCAGCAGGTTTACATGCTGCGTACCGGTCTGTGTGCACCAACTGTCCTATAGTCTGTATACGCAGATGTTTGTCTATGTGTAGGCAGGAGCCAGGTCTACTGGTTATAGATGAGTGTGTTGTACAGTCATGTTCGAGTAGGCACACATGGTAAATCCATCTGTGCATTTTCTTCTCTGGGCTGCAGGCGACCCGAGGCCCACCGCGGTGTGATAAATGGATAGGTTGTTTAAAAGCTACCAGCATTCATCGCATCAGATGATCGCCCACTGCTTCCCAGATTGACTTCTTGCCTTTTACAGTTGAAGTCATTTACTTTCTGCATGTCAGAGAAATGTCGAGGTCTGCAGTTCCCGCCGTCCGTACTGATTCAGTCATGCAAAGATCAGATTTGTAACAGAAGCTTGAAATAAACGAGCTCAGGTTCAGTGTGTTTGTGATCCACACACAGTTCGGCTGAGCGTCCCCTGTGTTGACCCCACATTCTGGAAACGATTCAATAAAAATGGAGTTTGTGGTTTGTTAAACTGTCCAATCAGCTGTTCTGCTGACCACTCCAAATAGTTTCCACCCGTATGGAACAACCAGCAGGTCATACTGGTGTTTGTTATGTAGCTGTTTGTCACTAAACACTCAGTGTAACAGAGTTCTGCTGCTTGATTTTTGATT